CTCTTGAGTGAACCCTGAGGTGTGAAGACTCTGGGGGAGACAGAGGGTCTGCCTGATCTTCAGTTCTCCTTCCAAGAAAGGCCAGGGCTAACCCCGTTTCAAGGGCTCATTAATAATAAATGTTCGAACTTGGATTGGCTTTAACATTTTTGAAAACGGCCTCTTTTCAAACAAAACCTTACATGAAATCTAAGTATATGGATTAGATACAAATGGAACTACAGTTCCAAGGCAGGAGAAGGTCCCAGAAACACCCCCCCCTCCCCCACAACAGAGTTTGGAAACTGCAGATTGTGTTCATAGAGATAAAGGCAAAGCATGTCATTGGCCATCCTTTTTAATAGCATTTGAATTCCTTCAAGCTTCAAAGAGCAACAGGGAGCTGGAGATCGCCTTAGAACCCCCAGGGGTAGGGGAACATGAACTCCTTGACCAGATTCCAGGAAGAGGGGCTCCCTTAAAAGAATAAAGCATAGTGTCGGGGAGCCATCAAGAGATCTTACACCACAGGGGTAAAGATAGGGCAGGCTGAACATAGAGTGTGTTTGAAGTCAAAGTCATCGTCAACAGTAGCCCCAAAGCAGGTTACAGAGGCTGAGCTGGAGATCAGAGGAGACTGAAAGTTTGGCAAGCAGCCAAGAGTTGGCACTGTCATTGGAGAGTGGGGCCAGTGGGGCAGAGTGTCCAGGGTGATGTTCCTGGTACCCTGAGAACCCGGCAGAGCCTGGTGAAAAGGCACACTCGGGAGCCTTGGGTCCTGGGTTCAAATCCAGTGCCAGGAGTTTCTGACCATGCGACTCTGGGTGCATTATTCAACCTCTCTGACCTGAATGTCCTGCTCTGTAAAATAAGGATAATGCAAGCACTCTCCCCGTGGAGTGGATGTGGGGATCCCAAGACGACACACATGGGAAGTGCCTGACACGCTGTTGTTGTTAGGTGCCCCGAGTTGGCTCTGACCCATGGCGATCATATGTACAACAGAGTGAAACACCACCTCACGATTGTTCCCATGCTTGAACCCA